CTAAAAGCTAAAAACCCTCCTAGTACAACTTTTGTAATTAGCTCCTCACACTAGCAGCTTTCACGCTGCTGTATTTTACGGGGGAATTGCGCCAATCTGCCGGCTCGCTGCACTTTCTGAAAGGTATGGAGCAGATTATATCCACCTCTAGAAAACTTAGTGACAGACAAGAGACAGAAAGACGGAACGATCTGTTTGTGAAAGGCCACAAACGACATGCCGTGGAACGCCGCTTGCTCCTATAAAGCTGGACCGTAAAGTCCTTTTTTAGTCGTGATAAAGCTGCAAACTTTTGTTCTGTATGAATTAGCGAATGCGACATATGCGGATATTCTTTTTGCATTGATCTGTGTATGAAAGCGGCTACACTCACTCTCCCCTCCTGTCCCCTAACACCCAACCCTTACAAATCTATGCAAATCAAACACAAGTAACATGAAAAGAACATAAACAACAACCAATGAACGCTTTTAGATACCTTGGCATATGGGGGACCAATTTCAGTGCGACATGCAACCAACAAGAACGCTGGCTGCTAATTACCGTCAAATATAAATCATATGCAGAATATATTTACCCGCCAATGTGGTATTCTTACAACACTTGGCTGCTTTGTGCTTCTACTATCTTCTTCCCAGCTCTATGTGACCCCGTTTGGTTCTGTAACTTCAGGCTGCATATACCACAAGGAGCATTTCAGAGCGTTTTGCCTGACTGATTTTGCTGACAAGTGTTTGCTTTTTGTGCTTCCACTATGATTAAGTATTGATTTCTTTTTGTGTCTGTTTTAACTGTGTTTATTGCTGTTTTACAATTGGGTGTCTCTCCACAGGGTGTTTTATTTTGAAAATTTTGACCAGATTCTCTTTGCTGTTCTGTGTCTGACTTCCTGCCCGGTACGATCTGCTCTGTGCTGCGGAGCGGAGAGCTGCTTCTGGTGGACTCACAAGCACTGACTAGAATGAATGCGTTCAGCTCCAACAACCGTAGCCGGATTCAGTGGATTTTAGGGGTTATGCAAGTTTGCATTGATGCATGTTTTCATTCTCGGATATGTTTTTTCTCTCTCTCGCTCTCATTTAAATTTCCTGTAGTCATGGAGCGTTAACTTTCCCAGGTTCATGACTGTATAGCAAAGCTTATGAAAATACTGAGGTCCTGAGTCCTAATTCACACAGCACAACCCTACCCCGCTAAGAAACCTTTGTCTAATGCTGATCAGACAGCATGGGTATTGCACAGTTGTGCCTTAGGCTTGCCACAATAAAAAACCCTAGGCTGGCCACAATAAAAGGCCACTCCAAAATGTGCAGTTCCGCAGTGCAACACATCTCCTTCGTATAGAGTTGATCAGGTTGTTGATTGTGGCCTGTGGAGTGTTGGTCCACTCCTCTTCAATGGCTGCGCGAAGTTGCGGTCAGTCGAGACCCCGATGAGGAAGACGAGCATGCAGCTGAGCTTCCCTGAGACATTCCTGACAGTTTGTGCAGAAATTCTTTGGTTATGCAAACTGATTTTTGCAGCAGCTGTCCGGGTGGCTGGTCTCAGACTATCTTGGAAGTGAAGATGCTGGATGTGGAGGTCCTGGGCTGGTGTGGTTACACGCGGTCTGCGGTTGTGAGGCCGGTTGGATGTACTGCCAAATTCTCTGAAACGCCTTTGGAGACGGCTTATGGTAGAGAAATGAACAGCTCTGGTGGACATTCCTGCAGTCAGGATGCCAACTGCACGCTCCCTCAAAACTTGTGACATCTGTGGCGTTGTGCTGTGTGATGGAATGCACATTTTCGAGTGGCCTTTTATTGTGGCCAGCCTAAGACACACCTGTGCAATCCCCATGCTGTCTGATCATCATCTTGATATGCCACACCTGTGAGGTGGGTGGGTTATCTCGGCAAAGGAGAAGTGCTCACTAACACAGATTTTGACAGATTTGTGAACAATATTTGAGAGGAATAGGCCTTTTGTGTTCATAGAGAAAGTCTTAGATCTTTGAGTTCAGCTCATGATTAATGGGGCAAAAACAAAAGTGTTGTGTTTCTAATTTTGTTCAGTGTTAGTTTTTATTATTTACTAATTCATGTGAGAGCATCAATGTTGAAGTAATTTAAGACAAAACAAGCTGTTAGGTGTGTGTTACTTCAAACCTTTGGTCTAAGTGAAAGAAGAACCGTCACACCAAAAAAGTCAGATTCAGCTGGTTTCAACTTGCGTTTTTAGCTCTCTTCTCCTTTCCCTATCTGAGGGATTCCAGTCCTTATTCTCTTTTTTTTACGTTCTGTCTGGTTCGGATTTAGGCTACCAGTAGTTTCAATACACTTTGTGAAGACCTAAAACTAGCCTTGACGTGCCCTTATTTGCAGTGGTGGAACATAACTAAGTACGTTTACTCAGGTACTGTAAAATTTTCATTTTCTGCTACTATACCTCTACTCCACTACACTTATGAGTTACTTTGCAGACTGAGATTAATAATACAAAATATAATGATGATGATGTATTATTATAGGTTGACTTAATAAGACTTTATTGATATCAGTGGGGAAACCACAAAAATTTTAATTAGCCCCAAATACCAGCTGTAACATTAAAGTGATGCGCACATTAATGCATCAGAAATTATAATCCAGGATTATAATATACATTATTATCAAATGGGCACCAACAATACATTCTGCATAATGATACTTTTAGTTTGGTACTTCAAGTACATTATTATTATTATTGTTATATTATTTTATAAAAGCATTTGTACACTGTGGTGTTGCTACTTTTACTTAAGTAGATGAGCTGAATTACTTACCTGAATTTTTGGTGTGCTGGTTTGAGACATCTACATGTGGTAAATGAAGATGAGACCACACTAAAGTGGTTAAAAAAAAGGGTAAACATTTGTTTAAAAATAATGATCTTTTCTACTTGTAGAAACTTAAACAAGGCAAAGTTCAGTGTCAGATCTGGGGTTATGACATAATCTTACTGTGCTCAAATGATGAGCTGCAGTGATTTCTACAGAGAGGAAATTAATATTTCTTTGATGGCGGCTTTGTTCACCTTGTGACTGCGCTGGTCTGAACCTCCTTTTCCTCAGTTAGTCATATGACAGCCCCAGACACAATCTGGCGGAAAAAAAAAAACAACCTCAGTGCTTTCTTGAGCGAGCTGCGCAGATAGCGCAGACTGTTGGCCCGCGGCGCAGACTCTACGTCCCGCCCCCGTCGGTGTTCTACAGAAAGTTCGCAAGAGGCGTTGGTGAATGACTGGCCTGTCGCGCGTTGACGTAAACCAGACCAGGACTTTTTTTTTTTTTTGGTACCGAGCGGAGAGGAGATGCACACGGCACTCGAGTGAGGTAACTATATAAAAACCCATTTGTTTTCATCCACTCCCACAACATGGACCCGGGCGGTGTTTGCCACAACGCGTGGATGTTATTAACCGCTATGGCGAACGTTTGTTACGGAAGCTCAGACAGCAAATGTTATTGTTGCTCTTTGTTTGCTGTGTAAGCTAATTTCCTGGGAGTCGTCTGCTAGCTAACGTTAGCTGGCGGATTATTTGCCGTCGTTTCCAGGTTAGCGTTAGCTTGACTGCACCAGGACAAACGGGCTTTGATCTTAAATCTCGGGTAGCTCTGACAGGCTCGCTTTGGACATTTGGCGACTAAGTTACATGTGGATGATTTGCCATTTTTGCGGGCACGTTTCAATGACGGGGGCGAGCGAGCTCAGTGTTGCATTACGGTCACCACGTGCGGTGTTCAAGCCCCCCTCTCGGTTCACCAGACTGAGAACTGATGGGCGGTTTCAGGAGCAGCGTGGCTTCACCGGGTTAATCTGAAAGCCAGGCGAATTTCTGTGGCGGAGTTGCTTTTGAAATTGACATTAAATTGCGTTTTAGTGGGCCGGCAGGTCATGTGTCGTGACTGCCTTTTGTCATATGCAAATGTGACGTGCATATGTTGTAACAGGATGTATAAACGTTGAGGAATTTAGTTTTAGAGTCCTCATGAGTCAATTTTTGCTTAGAGTTAATAAACACTAAACACTAGCGTGCTAATATGAGAGCACTGAGTATGAAAAATAAGTTTGTTTTTCAATATTTGGCACCTCTAACATAAACACATGAAATCCTAGCAGTCCTACAGGAAAAGTACCATCAGCCAAAAATGTATCTTGTAATTCTACACAGTCCCATAAACCAGTCCATTCAACCTACACCTCAATATTAAAACGTCTTAACTGCTGTGGGTTGACATTTGTGAAGGATGTGATCAGTCATTGGTTTTATGTGTGTTTGTTTCTAAGGAATCTTAAACACAACTCCTTCCCTCCTGTTGTCCTTAATGATTTTCATGAACCTGAGAAATTATAAGCAGATTGTACGGAAGTTTACACTGTGCGTGATTCATTAAATCAGCCACACATGTCACCTCCTCACACTCCAGATACAGATTAAGTTTCAATTTTGTTAACTGTCGGAAATTTGGATGGAAAACTGCTGACGAAGCTCAGTCAAAATGTACAGTCTGGGCTAATTTAATTGATTGACCCCTATCCATCCATCCGTCTTCAACCGCTCATCCTGTGTACAGGGTTGCGGGGGGGCTGGAGCCAATCCCAGCTGACATCGAGCGAAATATAAATATGAAATAATATTAGGCCTATACTAGTGGTAAATTAGGCTATATGAACCTTTCTGTGTGGAGTTTGCATGTTGTCCGCGTGGGTCCTCCCACCATCCAAAGACAGGCTAGGTTAATTGGTCTCTAAAATTGTCCTTAGGTGTGAATATATAATGTGTCACATCCACATTATGTGTGAGTGGTTGTTTGTCTATGTGTTGCCCTGCGATGGACTGGCGACCTGTCCAGGGTGTCCCCCGCCTTTCGCCTGATGTCAGCTGGGATTGGCTCCAGCGCAGTATAAGCGGTTGATGATGGATGGATGGATGTTTGGTCCATAAAACCTAAATATATATATATTACTGTCAAAGAATGGTAACTTAAAATATTCACATTTAAGAAGCTGGAGTCAGAGAATCTTTACTTTTTTTTCTTTAAACCTTTGTCAAATCGATGAGCAAAATAGTTGGCTATTGATTTTAATAGTTGACAACTAATCAATTAATCGTTGCAGCTCTACTTGAAAGTATAGCAGAAGCTTATTGTGTGGAGACTACCGTTGTGTAATTAGGATTTTAAAATGCTTTTGTAATGTAGTAAACAGCTTCCCAAGTTCTTAAGATTTACATCCCACTCAGTACAGTTGCATGACTGAGATGCAGGGCAGTGCTGGAAAAGCGAGTGGATGCTCAGCGAACCTTTGACAGGTGTGACCTCGCGAGTTTAGCTGTTCTGTGTATCACAGCGTGCCCAACTCTGTCTGTCATTTCAAATGCGCACACTGTCTGGAACGCTGTTGCAGAAATTGTGTTTTGGTCTCCTGTTTGCTTGCTAAACTTCTAGAGCGGGCTTACTGTATGTGGACATAAAGCCCAGGCTTGTATATGTAACTGTTTGCAAGTGGTTTTGTTGCTTATTTTTGGATTACACTGGCATACAAAGAAAGCAAACACAGTGAACACAGGATTGCATTGTCGTCGTCATCATTTCCTGGCATGGAATTTCTTGTTAAAATAGTATGTAGTCCTTGAATTTTCTGTTTCAGGTCCACTGAGGACAAAGCTACAGCATAAGGGCATTATGCTAAGCCACAGGCTCCCAAACACTAATATGATTAAACAAACCATGAATTACCCTTAAATGGCTTTGTGAGATGTTTTTGTATAGGGCTAAATGTTATTTAAAGCCTCTGTGTTTATCAATATGCCAGATTGTCCTACAATATAATTAGCTAAAATGGCCTTTGTCTGCTTGTGTTACCGTCCAGCCCCAACAGTAAATCTGTTGTTGACAGTTCGATTAGAGATTCACTTCATCTTCCCTTAAAAACCAAAGACCTTTATAAGCATGGGAGGTTGTTAGACTTGTTTGCTTTTTTTTAATGTAACCCTACCTTGATACCTTGCAGTACAAACCCTCGGTGAAAGTCACCGCTGCGGCCAGCTGCAGGTTTCTAATAAGAATTTTGTAAACATACGCCTGACTGGTCTGTTTGTTTAGTGTTCATAATGTCCACAATCTGCTGCACATGTAACGCCATTCCCACACTCCTGCTGTTTAGATGTCTTTAATGCGGACAGGGCATTTTGAGTAGTGCTTGCTAAAATCCATTAACCAACACATCCATTATATCCTCAGTCTTGTTTCTGTAGGACTTAATTTAGGAGCACTATTAACATTTGTTGTTGAATAACCGCTGTTAGCTTGGGCACTGGCTATATTAGAGTACAAATATATTGTTCCCAGCAACACCTTTAAAACCATAATCTAGACAGAGCACATACCTCTGTTCTATATGTCAGGCTAAGCCTGCAGGACAAGGTGTGGGTCAGTCCGGCTCACTGCTGTCATTAAGTGGTTGAGCTTAAAATATTTGTGAGAAGTTGGTGAGGAGGTTTTTTTCCCGAGGACATTCCACTGTTTTAATGAACACGGTGTTATATTTTACTCATTTCAAATTGCTGACTTTACATCAAGGCAAAATACTAAAATGGGCATCATGTCCTACCAATAGTACACTAACAACCACACACACACAAACACACACACACACACACCTAAGTACACCATGAGTAGCTGGTCAGGTGGTTGATCCTAGACTCAGCTCCCTGACTGCTCAAATACGCACACATTCCCTCCCTGGGCCTCCCGTCCTCCCCGTACAAATTAGTTAAGTCACTCGACTCAAAAGCCTCAAAACACTGATCCTGTTACTTGTTTTAGTGCTGATGTGAACTGTTTGAATTGGTGTGCCGTGAACTCCCGTCCTTTTTGGCTTTTCTTTTTTTTTGGTGTCTGATCAGAGGTAAGCATGACTCTTTGTTTTGCCAAGGTGTTATTTTTTGACATCTGCACAGTGTACCCCCCCCCCCCCCCCCAGCGGATTCTCGTGTTTACTTGTCTGTGTCTAGTTTAGTCTTGCGGCCTTAGATTCTTTTTACACTGTGATGAACGTGTTTCCAGGCCACGGAGCATCATCCACGCACCTGCGTCTTGCCACAGTGGTCTTTGCTGTGTTGCACTGCAGCAGCTCCCTGATTTCCACCCGAGGAATTCATCACCATGCACAGCGTCTTCTCTCTGACTCAGTGGCTTCAACCTGCAAAACTTGAACTTGATGTGGTATTTGTTGTCGCGGATGGGGCTGTTTGACTCGGTAAGATGTTGTGACCTGTTTACGCCGGTTGTATTTGAACCCGCATGTGTCATGGTAGCCCGCACAGACGAAGTTCTTACTCACAGAGCCGACTTAATTAAGACGATCACACGGACCTTTGAGGCTGTTTGGAGTAGCTGGAATTTGAACTTGTGTGACTTGCGTCTGTGATAGGGTGTGCTATTATCAGGTTTGTTGCTACAAGATAAAGGCTTTCTACAACACTGTGAATATGCCAGGTGCTTGAGTCAGGAGATTTGCAGCGGACCTACCGCACAGCTTATGACAAATTGCACAGAATAGCTACTCTTGATCAGTGGATTGCTAGTTTGACCTGTCAAAATAACTACCTTGATCAAGTGTTTTGCAGCAGTAGTGGGTGGTTGTCCATGACTAACCATTATGGCTGTAAACATGAGGTGTAACTGGCTTGTGCTCCTTGTGGACAGTTGAGCCAAGCTGTAATGATTTCACATTCTGTCTGCCGGTGTTGGTAACGTCTCACTGTGCACATCACCATCAGATGGCTCGGGAAACACTGATGGGTAAGCGGTTGACAATCTGTTATTTCTCTTGCTGTCGTCAGTGATTGCCAGCAGAGATGTGCCTCTAAGGTGTCCTGATCGTGGTCCTCTTTGGATTCCCACAGACCATCTGCTGTGAGTTGGGTCCATGTGGCAGCTGACATCTTACCCTCTGCTGCACGCCTCAGGCCTTAACAAAGAAAGCTTCCACTCTGACATGTTTGTATAATATTTGTATGGTCTGACACTCCCCACTTAGTTTGGCTGAACAATTAATCGAAATTTTATCAAAATCGCAACATCACCTAATGCAATTTTCAAATCGCAGGAGGTGGTATATTTGTTTATGGCAACATGTGTGGCGAAATACTATTTGGCCATCACGTCATATTCTACATCTTTGTTTGGTAGAGATCCTTGCAGAAATCACACCATAATCATTTAAATATGTTTTTCAATGAAAATGAGACAAAAACGATCATTCCCGCTAATATCGCAATTCATATATCAGTCAAAATAATCGCAATTAGATATTTTTTTCCTACTCGTTCAGCCCTAGTTTGCAGTATGCATTAAGAAGTGGAAGCTTAATGGTTTCAGATGTAACAATCACAGCCTTGGGAAACCTTTATGAGAGCAATGTTATGTTATTGCCTATTTTTATTTGAACATACCTCCTTCACTATTTGAGTGAACACTCCCATTTCTTTGGACTTCAGGGGCAGGAAGCACGAGGCAATGTGAAAGAATTGCTTTGCCTTGATTTGTTGGAAACCTTCCTGCTGCAACAGACACTGAGACCCAAAACAGTACTGGACATAATACCAAATAATGTAGGACAGATAGCATTAAAAGCTGTAACATGTGTTACGTTTTTCTTAATGCAGAGATGTTGCATTGGAGTTGTATTTTGTGAGAAATATAAATGTCATTCAGGATATTTGGCAAAACCAAAACACTGTACCTATTTATCTTCTACTTGTTTTGTAACAACAACAAAAAACAACCAGAGGAGATTTTTAGGGTTCATAGATTTCTCTCGCTGTTTCCCTGCATTCTTCGGCGTGATCTCGAGAAGGATGTGTACAGCCGGTCGTGTGAGAATCATATGAAGCAGCTTAAGGGCCAAAGTCAGTTTTTTTTTTTTTTTTCCTTGAGAAAAAAAAACAGGATTCCTGTTCTCAACAACAACCTGGAAAAGACATGGGATAATATTTTTGAGGAATGCAGTAATGTACTGAAAAATGTAGTTAAGTTAATGATAGTACAGTTTCACTTTCACTGCTGTTCAACTTGGTTGTTGTTGTTGTTGTTGTTACAGTACAGTAGTCTTGATTAAACATGTTATTTCTAAATAACAAGAAAGAAAGAGTATTTATTAACCCCTTACACTTTTTAATTTTGTCCCAAATGTTATGAATACTGATTATCACATGTATATTCCGATGTATTATTGACGTTATGCTTGCCATGATTGAAACCTTTACAAACTAAGCTGCTGTGTTGTAAAGAGGTCACACCGTTACATCCAGTGGAAATATATGAGAGAAGTTGTGCTGTTTTAATGCAAAATTATAACAACGGGCTGTTGGTATGATACGATGAATGCTTTTCAGAGTTTACCAGAAGCTGTTTATAGCGGAGGTGCTGACGACCACCTCGGTTGGACCCATTATACGTTTGCATCACAGTACAAACACTTCAACAGCAACAGCTTAATGTTATGTAAAGCCTTGTGTTTAAGTTATTGAACAGCTGGGTTTGTATTTTAACAGCTGTAGCTCAGATCAACTGCATCGGTTCCTGTTCTGAGAAGCCGTTTGCTCTGTTGCCTGGTTATCGGATGCACCTGGTTGTTCACACACTTGACAGGTTTGCACTTTCTGCACGTGTCCTTTCTTCCTGAATATTAAATATCTTTGAAAACGTTGTCCAGTAGCCGCTGACATTTCTGACTTGTCCTAGACGTGCGCAGCGTTACTAATAACAATAATGAAGGATCAGTCGTATTCTGTAAGCCTGGACAGCGTGACAGTTAGCCTGACCCTGAAACTGAAGCAGCTGAATGGAATTCAGTCGTCATTACTTTTTATAATTAACACCTGTGCTTTTCCTACAGTGACATGTCAAAATGTCTGCTATGAAAGTGCACTCCAGTGACCTCTGAAGTGACAGATACTGCTTTAAAATAGGACCAGGCATCTACATATAACTTTCAGGCTTAGTGCTGGTTTTGCAATAGCAGCAGCAGCAGCAGCAGCAAGGCTTCCAGCCTGACCTAATAAAAGATGTAAACAAAAAAGCTTGAATTGGAAAACAGACAGTAGGAATATTTAGACATATCATCTGTACATGAACCATCTATTTTTATGTGCAGATACCACTGACTGTTTAATACGTCACGCTGCTCACAGTCAACTTCCATGGACCCTTTCAAGATCTTTGTATCACGGCTTTAGTGCGTGTGCAACGTTGTTTGGTGGGGCGTAACACAAAACGGGAGTGTTATTACGTAAAAGTGACTATTCGCACCCTTTAGGGGAGAGCGGGGTGATTTGAAGCTGTGGGGAAGTTGAGCCACCCCTTGTTTCTTGGCAACCATAGACAATATTGGTCAAGTGTTAGTGCTTTAGGAAGTTACAATATGAGGCTATAACGTTAGCATGACGTTACCTTTTAACTGCTGCATGACACAATTATGGGGTAATTTGAGCCAAAAGACCTGGGGGAAGTTGAGCCAGATATTTTACTGTAATTTTACATTGCATTTTTATGCATGAACCGAAATGATTTGACATTATGCATTTTAGACCAGAAACCATCATGTCATGCTTCTATAAATGTAAGACAGACAGGCTTCAGCTCCTCTTGTGGATTTGGACAGAGGTACAAAAGGGGAAGTCCATACATCAGGAGGCACAGGACGTGGTGATACACAGGATGGCTTTAAAGCGATACATTGATATGAAACAACTAGGAGACATAGCTGCAATGTTTCACTATCTAAATGCAATTAAATGTTGGGAACTGGTGTTTGAGTTTGCATGATAAAATGCCACTGATGTCACCGACCCCCATGTTGCTCAACTCATTTGGCGTAAGTTGAGCCAAGAGTCCACTATTTTTTTTTTTTTTTTTGGAAAGCCGTATTTTGAAAACCGTTTATTTTAGATCTAAATTGATTATTCCCAGGGATGCACCACATCCTAAAATAGATATTTTAGTTGGAGACCTTACTGTCAAGTCCTCACTTTAAAGACACATAAATTAAAAACTGTCTCAACTCACCCTGCTCTCCCCTATATGGTGAGCCTTCCTGACAATGTGCAGATGGAGGTGAACAGGATGGGGCAGGGAGGGTGCAGTAATGGCAAGAAAGGACTGAATCACCTTCCTAAATTGGCAGACATTTTTATAGACTGGTCACCAGTCTTCCCACAACAGCATTGTCTCACTTGTAAATGAAGTGCAGCCTGCACTCATACATATCATAGCTGCCGTGATCTCATTTTGAAGACACATTTCACTTATTTACCGTGGTTACAAAGCTCAACAACAACGGCACAGCTTGAGATCACGTTTTGTCATGTGAGTGGATTTTTTTCTACAGATGAGTCTGCATTTAACTTGTCTGTCCTCTTTAATATTTTTCCAGAGTGCATATTTCAGAAGAGTTGGAACCCCCCCCTCATATTGTAGCTTCAGGACTGGGGGCCAAGCAGGAGGAAACGCATTACGGTGAGTTATAGAGTTATTGTGTTTCACAGTACAACGGTGGGATTATTTACTTGTCTTGCAGTGCTGAAATAAACACACCAAGGTAATGTGCTGTTTCCTGCATTAATATCCCTTTAAGAGAAACAAACAATTGTGCCTGCAGCGCATATTGCAGTACAACTAACTAGATATTTTTTATTACTTTGTAGATTGTGGTTTGTGTAACACACAATTAAACTCTCGTACTAAATAGAGATCTTGTTTTCCTCAAAGGCCAAGCATAACAAAGACTCTAATCAGGCAAACACAGCAGGCTCTGTTGCTGCTTAGAGGGTGTGCTCTTACCAATACGTCCTGGTTTCGCCTCAACCTATCTGATGTGAGGTTCATAGGTCACCACTCTCTCGTGTTTATAAACACTGTCTTGTCGACAGCCATGAAGTAGGCTTGTAATCACACTTCACGTCTGCACCCTTCAGTCACAACGCCATCATTCACTTCCTCGGCAAGCTTGATTTCACACTCACTTAAGGGCACGCTGTGGTAAGTAGCCTCGCTTCGGGTTATTAAGAATGAGAATCAAGTCAGTGTTAAGTAACCGATTTTATTTGGTTTTGAAATGTTTGACTTAAGGCCCCTTTGAAGGTGTTGAATTGTGCAACACGGTCACCTGGATGACTCGTTATAAAAGTGTAAAAGTTGGGTCTGTTTTGGCTGTTTTTTAACTGTAGTTTGTGCAGAAATTTCAGTCACACCAAGACTCCTTGTCTACATTTTGACAAAATAATTACCCTCTATATGACATTACGTTAAGAACTTACGTACTTTAAAAGACTGATAATAAACGCTACTTTTACACGACTTCTTGATCTTGTTACATGAGGAGAATGAAGTCCATGACGAGCTTAAAGTCAGAAAGCTGATTAGCTGTTAATGTCGTCTGCACGATGATCAAGGCTTTGAAGAGTAAACAAGGTCTTTGTTTTAGCCAAGCTGAATCTTTCTGAATTGTATTAAATATTTTTGTGGGAGAGATGCAAATACACTAAAAACCTCTTATAGTGATCATGTCTCTCCAGGTCTAATTGATAACTATAAGTGTTTTTATTTTACTTCATTTCTCATGCAGATTGCTATCCTGTTGATATTTATATATTTGTTACAGACTTTAAAGTCATGAAACGGAAAGCTTAGCTGTTATTGACTGTTTCAAAAAGCGGTGCTGCTGTTTCAAACACTTTTCAAATGAAGTTACAAATTAAATTACTCTACTGTGTATAATTCAAATACAGTAATACAAGTACAATACTGTATATTAAAACATAGCTTGTAGTTCAAATTCTAATTAGATAATAGCCTAAAGCAGTATTGTGGTGTTTACAGACACGGTAACGTCAGCAGTGCTAATAGGCCACTAAGCCACAGCTGGTATCGGAGTTTTAAAAACAAACCTACTCATAAAATATGCTTATATCATATAATATATGATAATATGCTTTTCAGGAGTCAGATATTTTTGTTGAATAGATGATTTTATAGTGGTAGATTTTTCTTTTTTTACGCTTTACCAAAAATCTGAGTATCAGTAACAGTGTCTGCTGTTTTAAAATGAGGCTCTTGTGTAATGTTATTTAAGTGATCTCTGACTTATTCGTTGCATCTCCTCCTCTGTGTTTTTGTTTTGCAATTTCTTGCTTACTGTGGGTACATCCAGAAAGAAAACAATTGTTGTTGATGCTCCCACGAGACTACAGTGGGCAATCTGTTGTAAGCTAACCGTGAGGAGGATCTTTCACCTTCTTTGTTTTTAACATTTAGCCCATTATGTGTAGTCTGTGCAACACACATCTATTCCCTCGTGATGTGCATGCTGTAAATCCAGTATCAACTTTGCTAACAAGCTGGCTGCCAAAGGCCTGTGTGCGTTTTTTTTTTTTTTTTTTGTGCCTGTGTCTGGTCTCTAGTGTGTGCGCGCCAATGTGCCATTTTACTATTATCCAGCAGTATTCCTCATCTGACCTCTCCACCCCCAACCCTCACGCATCAACCACCCACAGGCTTCACAAGAGACCTTGTGAGGATCATTTGACTGGAATGATATTGCTGCTTCAGGCCTTTTTAGAGTGTGTGTGTGTGGGGGGGGGGACAAGCTATTTGTTACACAATTCACAGTAGAGAGTTTATTGTGTTCCAGAAGGTTCCCGGATTCAGCTATGAAATGTGCTAAGTTAAAGGTAGCAGCTTAGGTGGTTTGAATGTTGTATTCATGCATGATTTGCAGCCCTTGTTAGCTTAGAATGTTGGTGCGTAATTGCTAGAGAAGCTCTGATCTGGCTTTGTAAGGCCAAAATTGATTGATTCAATCAGGATTGATTAATTAACACCAGAAGTTCTACAATGTTTTTTTTGTTTTTTTAATCCCGCCGTCCTGCTTTAATTTCTAAATTAGTTCTGAGAATAGTCTTTTAGTGATTCAAATTCTGAAACTTCTACTTTCCTGTTTTGGCAGGGGACCAGAAGTCAGGGGACAATGCGAGTCCACGTGCACACCAAGTTCTGTTTCCTGTGTGTGCTCACCTTCCTCTTCCATCAGTGCAACCACTGCCACGGAGAAGGGCACAGCCATCAGCACGATGGGCATCACCACGCCGACCACAACCACGTCCACAGCGACCTGCAGATTTCTGAGGCTCCGTACGTTAGAGGAGCCACTCTGACCCCGGGGGCCAGGAGCACTCAGGGGCACTCTCTAGAGGAGGAGCAGCGCTTCTACATCCAGCAGCTGTTCAGGCGCTACGGCCAGAAAGACCGTCTAGATTTCCAGGGCTTTCAAAGTCTGCTGTTTAGCCTGGGTCTGGGCGAAGTGAAGGTGGTTGATGTGGATCACGAGGATCTGGGCCACGACCACGTAGCTCACCTCGACCTGCTGGATGTGCAGGAGGGGCTTCACACACATTCATCCACCAGCGAAGGCCATAGCCAGGGTCACGGACATGGGCATGGGCATCCACGCCACAAGCCCGGCTCCCACCATCCACACACAGAACAGGTTCCCACACGGTGCAGCCAGGACACCACTGCTGCCAGTCCAGCTGCTGGTGATGACCATAAACATGACCATGACCACGCCAAGGTAGAGGTTAGTGACCATAAACATTCTGACGGACATGTGCAGGGCGCGCATGATCATGATCATCCCCACGACCACGATCACACACATGACACAGAGCACAAACGTGAGCAGGTGCACTCCAACCACAAGGACCTGTCTTCTCAACCTCACAGTGATCACCAACATGACCGCGATCATGTCCACGAAGCGCAGACAGGCACAGACATTCCCCCCGTCAACCTACAACAGCAGCCCTCTCCCCAGCTGGAGCCGCCCCGGGCCCCTCAGGAGCTGCAGTCCTCTCCTGCCACTGCAGAAAGCCGGCCTAAGAAGCCGAGAAAGCCAGCCAGGGCCAGAGGACAGAGAGGGCGAGGCAAAACGCCCTCTCCTGTCACACCCGAGTCTGATGACCATGACCATCAACACGAACACAGTCACGACCTTGACCGCGATCACGGTCACTCTCATAAAGATAAGAGAGAAGCACGAAGAGGGTCCGCCTCCCCCACTTTGCCAGTCCCTGTCTTGTCTGCCCATCCAGGTGGACTGTTTCATCAGCATGAGGAGGTAGGACTAGTTTGAACTAGTTGACGTGCGAGAATCTCCACTTCAAGAACTCGTGATTCAAATATGGACGCATTCTTAGAAATGTCTCAGTAATTTGATACGAAAGAAAAGACCTGGAAAAATATTTGTTAGTGTCCTGCTGATGACCTGATCAGTAAAACAAACTGTAGAATATATAATAATAGAAACGTAGAGTCTCTCTTGTTGCTGCTACTACTGCTTGTATAGTTATTTCTGATCCCCTATGACACAACACTTAAAGAGACTTTGTTGGAAGTGTTTGGCTCTGCTTTATGGAGCAGCTTGGTTGATTTATCAATCAACACTGTAAGGGTCAAAACATCCTCGACATTACCTGTAAAGTGTTTGAGTATCATTCATTCACCCCTGTGTAGGGCTAGCAACCACTCCGCTGTCCGTATGTCAGTACGTTCCACACAGTAGTACTTTGCTTTTACAGCCACCTTTCACGTATACAGGCGTCAGTATTTGATATTTATTGGATATATTTTGCATGGAGCATAGTGGTTTCTTCCCCTCACTCTGAACCATCTCCTTCCAGTGTTTGAACCTGACTCAGCTGCTCACCTACTACGGCCTGAGTCCCGAATCGCTCATCTCCCCCAGCCAGTTCACCTACCTGTGTCCTGCCCTGCTCTACCAGATAGATAGTCGCGTCTGCATCCGCCATTACCACCAGATGGATGTGAAGCAGGAAGCCCTGGAGCCCGTCAGCTCCGGTAAGAGCCAAGTTTCTTATTGATCCAGTCAGTTTTGTCTGAAAAGACGTGTAATGTTGAATGAAACAAACTTTTCGGCGAGACTCCCAGACCCCACTCAGGTTTTACTCCAGACCCAAACAAGGCTGTGACCAGCAGTCTCTGTTTGTTGTTTTGGATATTCTTATTTCTCTGTTTTTCTGCAAGACATGCTTTATAGTGAGAATATGAAGGGCAGGGAAAGACGGTGCTCATCCTCGTTATGCATGTTAGCAGGGTTCCTACACAGCATGGAAAAGTAAGGGATTTGATTTTAATCATTTCCAGGACTGGATAAGTTGGAAAACATATTTGTGTTGTCAGACTACTGCCCCTATTCTATTCTGTCTAAATTATAATTACTAAAAACAAATTGAGGCGTTTGGAGCAGACAGCCAGCGCATGCAGAATGTTTACCGCTGTGTGAGAAAGCAAGACGAGGGCACTGCTGACAGTTCAGTTGTTTGTACACAAGAAACATCAGTTTGTCACGGTCAGCCATGGTCTTTTGTAGGGCTGGGCCCGAATATTCAAACATTAGATTGTTGGGTACACATTTGATTTGCAATTTTGGGATTTGCTTATTGAAGGTTTTTTTTCGTGCGCCTGACCTCCGCTGACTGCAGTGAACATAAAGTTTCAGTTTACATCAAAAGGAAAACAAAATGAAGTCCTAAGCTGTGTGGGAGCACTTTAACCTGAGTGATGACAGCAGTAGTGTTTGAAGTCATGTCGTCTATTCATTTTACAATTGCTTAATTTCATTACAGATCAAAACAGTTAATTAAGTAAAATTAATCAGTAAACTGTAGGCTGGAAACAAACAAACAACAGCATAATGAACACATTTAAATATTTATATTAGGCCGATTGTATAAGAAGAGCATTTAGTCGCTATAATAAAAGTTGCATAATAATGTGTTAGATTTAGTTCGCTACCGGAAATACCGCTCATCCCGTCTGCTCTCCGCCTGGACCCCCGCCCGGTTTCTGCTCTGGACCTGCTTGGATCAGACTCTCACTCTGAAATCTCAGCAACTGTTCCCCCTGCTGTGCGCAGCAGCCACCAACCCAGTTGGAGGGTGCTAAGCTTCGATTATTCGCTGTTAATTACTATCGAAGCGTTATTAAAGCTCAAAAAATGACATTCGGGTCAGCCCTAGTTTTTTGTTTCCATTCGGTGTTGATCACCTTGTACGTTTGGAGGTCGGACGTTTGAAATTTCAACAGGAAATTATGGAAGGGAGAATACTAAAATGTTATTTATTCAATATGTTAAGGGAAAATGATATAAGTAGAGAGAGCGCTGGTCAGTTTAATTCCTGCCAAGAGCCTGCACCCTAACTGTTGTTCCGCTTAAAACTAATGCACAGCCAAAAGAGGTGATTCGTAGCTAGAAGTTGCATCACCAACATGCAAAACATCACTCACGCTCTGTCTTCACTCGCCCGTGGAAGCACCTTTTCCCTGTGATATTTGTTCTGTGCTGCCATACGTTTAGATTTGAAAGCTCTTGTCACTGCCGATCAACATCCTGCTTTACTGGAGATTCTTTACACTTCATATGGATTTTAAAGATCAACAGCTCACTCCAGAGCAAAGCAACAAAAATGTAGTGCTTAGATATCACCAGTGTCACAATGGACTTTATTTGCACAATGGATCAGCAACAGTACGTTTTAACTCGTCAGCGTGTTTGTTCAGCAGATAATTGGTTCATATTCAGAACCCAATAAAACAGCGGTGGCGTCACGTGAGCGTCCCTCAGACAGAGACTTTACCGAGAAAAAAACAACAACAAAAGGTGAGATACTATTGAGACTTTGAATGGAATTATATTTCAGTGAAATAATAGGTTCATTTACAGAACAGCTAGCTTTGAGTAACATTTATAGTGATAAGAATTTGGTGTCTTAAAGTAAGTTACTGTCTTTATCTGGTTCCATCGGCCAGAGGAAACCACAATCTTTGTAATATGTAAACCACAGGCACATCACCATAAACCACAGCATTTTGAAAGTGATGCTATCAGCATGTGTAACTTGGCGCTCCTCTCTTGAGGAGGAGTGTCAGATCTGTATGATAGAATGATTATCTGAACTAATCAAGCCGTGCTTTACAGTATATATAACTGAAGTGAACCAGGAATTGTAACAATCCATAATCCTCCATATTTACTTAATTTCAGTATATTGACATGGCAGTTTTTGTTTCTCATCTTCTGCTATCCATAGCAGCAGTGAACAGTCACCAGAGTGTAATTTCAACACTGGCTTTAGTTAAAAAAAACAACAAACAGGATATTGAAAGTCAGTCGAGTAATTTGAGAGCCAATGAATAGGCTGGTGCTGACTAATCTTAAGCTTCTTGTATTTCTACAACCCGGCGCTTAATTAACTTTTATTTATAGATGAAGAAAGCATAATGCCTAATGGCTTTGAGTGTAAGACAGCAGGCTCGGGTGGTTTTTGGCTTGAGAGTACGCTCTCGAGTCGCACAGAACTGTGGCACAGTTTCATTATAAGAGAGGTGTGAACTGTGCTCTTTGATCTTGATAGCACAACCAAGTGTGTTACCACACTGCCACAGAGTTATCCGTACAATCACCTTTGTTTAATCTTTATAAATACTCAGACCGCACGTTTCCTTTTCAGCAAATCATGCTTCGTATTCATGGTTGCACACTGGAAGCTGCAGTCTGTAAACACATGATTTACTGGTTTACAGGTAAACTATAGCTAAATGCATCCAGCTGCAGCGGGAGGTGTGGATGGCATGAATAAAAACCAGCAGGACTGTGAATGACCTCTTAATCCTTTAAACTTCTTTAGCCTCTAAATGTTTGGAAAAGGGGTTGTGCGAGCTGTGTCAGCCATATAACGTGTGGGAAAATATATTGGTTATTTTTTAGATGTGTTTATGGGTGCAGCAAGTATTTAGCATAATCCTTAATTGATGAATTATTCAGTCAATCACAACTCCCAGTGATATGCCCAGTGAGCATATGCATAACTAATGGCCATCAGCACGAGCTGATGGCAGTGACTGTACTTAGCGAGCTGACTATATAATGATTGGTTGGCCTGCCATTTGTGTCTTGGGCCATCCAGGAAGAGAGAATTTTTTCTTTTGGCTATTCACTGGGAGAAAGTTAATGTTTGAATGATTAGACGGCCACATCACATCCATCTCTTCTTATTAGAGCACATCATGTGATTGACACTCAGGATCATTCGCTTGCCTAACTGCGTGATTTGTGTCTATGGCAATGTGTGCCGCTTGTCATTTATGATTTTAGTTGCCATGGCAGCAAACGAGTGGTCCTAGCATGTGCTGACAATTTAGAAATTGTGGCCTCATCTCGCTCACGTCTGAAAAAGGCGTCTTGCCTGCGGTGATCTCTCTCGCCTCGCTATGAGTTCCAAATCCCTGAATTAATTATGTTCAAAAAGAAAAGCCAGAAAGATCAGCTCTAAAGAATGAAGGTCAATGTTAAGCCCCGCTCTGCTGCACAGTGTTTCTAGGTTTATGAGAATGCAAATCATAAAATCTGTGTTTTAGAGTTAATGAGTTACATGTCATGAAATAACGCTCATAAAGACATAAAAGTTTGCTACAAAGCAAACCAGGACCATTTATCACAGTTCCTGCACGCAAAAATAGCAAAGCATAGAAAAGGCTGCTTTTTCTTAAGACTGATGTATTATCATACTGTGTGTGTGTGTGTATCAGTGGGTCGAGCGTGTAAATCTCTAGGAATAAATAACACATATCCACCTGGAATGAAAATGCATTGTGTGATAATCAATCTGACCACGCTGCATTTACACCTGCTGCATTTATTTGTTCTCACGTTCGGTTTCATGGCTGCAGCGTAATCTTTAGTTTTCAAGTAGTTGCAAATTAGAAAGAAGTTTGGAAGCTTTCACTGTAAACAACAAAGGACAACACCGCGTGTGGGGTCATAAGATGTTCTGCACAGCCTGGATGTATTTTAATTAGTGTTAGAAAGTGGCCTATTTGTGAAAACAAATCACTGTCAAAGCTGCTGGCACTTAAGTTTAACCGTGAGATTGGAGGAATTCCCTAACTGTTCGCCCTCTTAAATCTGTAATTATTAACCACACAGTCCTCTGGAGGCACCTGCATCACACGTGCCTCCGGCAGCAGTGTGTCACCACTGAAAACAGCCGTAAAAAGGGTAATGACGACGAGGAAGACAGCACGAACGGGTCAAAAGGCCAGGAATGGCTCCTCATTAGTGGAAAACTAAAGGCACTAGATTTGTCTGCAGTGGTGCACCAAGACTCAACCGTAGGCATCACACGCCACGAAGCTACCTCTCATTTACCTCCTGCTGGCAGCCATGGGGGAGCTCAGAAAACTTGCAGTTGGTTTCTTCCTGGTCCCCACTCCTCTCTCGTTTGACGTTGTGCCAATTAGGAGAGCCTAAGCGACACCCAGGGCCATTTTTCTCACAGGAGATGCGTAATTGGAGAGAAGACACAGACCAGTGAGTCTCCTTCTCCTCTCTTTGGTTCCCTTATCGCCGCCTTCTTGCGCCCTTGCACACCACCACGTCAACACACGCACAAAACCACAGCTGTATAAGAGTAATGAGTTAGAATAGATGAGCGTGAAAGACCTGTCTGGCTAATATACAGTAGCCTCTCAGCAGTCACTTACTTTTGTAAAGCACATTGAAAATAGTGGTAACAATAAGAATGTTACTTAGGATGACTTTTCATCTATGATGAGAAAATTATTTCAGCCTGTTCAGTTGGACGATGAGGCTGCACAATACGTACAGTTTATTAACTGGCACATTATAACTGCAGATGCTAGTCGTGGTCTACTGCTCTACATATGAAGCAGGGAGCATTTCTTTTAAGGTTTAACATAAAAGAAACAATCTAAAATGCTGCACATGTAGAGACTTTAGGTCACATTAATGCTATCAAACCTAGTGGGGACACAGATCCTGGATTTATTCTGTGTTACCAATGCACATTAAGGAGTTATCTTTATCAGATATTAATACAGGATCAGTCTCAAACTCAGACCAAATATGCTCTATGCATACCTTATTCAAACATTTTAGCAGTTGTATCCAAAATATATGCAGTAAACAAGATTTACAAAGGTGCATTATGATTTGTCAAAGCTGGCAAATGTATTTGCTTTAAAAATACAAACAGATATCACCCAACATATAAGTGCTTTGTGCATATTAACAATTGTTTTTGCATTTATTTACATAACCAAGACTTTTGTGTGTTGCATTTACATGCTGGCGGTTACATTAAGAAAGGGGCTGAGAAAGCTGTCAAAATATTGTACCTGGTTTAAATTCAAATAGTTCAAGTCGAGACCTGAGTGAGTACGGCGCTCACTGTGGCCTGTACAGTCTGTCTTGGGCCTTCAAAGGAAGCGTCACGGTGTCAGATGCAAGACTCCGTCACCAGCAGGTAAATGCAACACATACCGACAGGTGACAAGGCTCATGTAGAGGCGTCCGTACAGGACACACCAACCAGATCTCCTCCCAGAGGTCACATGTAAACCGGCAATGAGAGTCAGGGTTTTGGGATCCACAAAAGCTAATGACAAGTGGCCGTGTAATCAGCACTCATCAGGGCCTTCCTCTTCAGTTAAAATATTTGCCCCCGGAGGAGCTCCTCCAGCCTCCTGTTTTCTGGGCGGAGAGACGGCTGCCCGGGGAGAGACTTTTTTTGTAATATTTTTTAATCCTGCAGCTGGGTAATGGGACAGTAACAGCTTGATTCAGTCTCTCTAAAGACCACTCTGTCAGGCATTAGACATGTTTCACATCATCTCTTCACAAGCGACACCACCTGGGGCCGATTAGATGAGGAGAGGAAGTGCGTCTGCCGGTGTGATTTTACAGTTATTAGTCATTTTTTCCCTCCGGCTCGGTGGAAGCTTCGGCTCTTTTTGTTTGTTTGGTGCTCGTTGTTCTTTTGGTTCAAACTCTTTGATCTGACAATACGTTTCATGGTTTTTTAAAACATAAATAACCTACATAACCTAAATCTGTAAAGAAGGTTTATTTCTGTATCATATAAACGGAGCATTAGTTTGTTGTGACACACTCCTGAAACACCTCGCTGCAGTCAGTGAGGTGTTTCAGTCAGTAGAAGTCCTTTAGCTGAATGTCAGCAGTGAAGGACCCTGCATCGCTTTAGCAAACGCACCAGCTGCTTTGGCGTGACATTGAATTTCATACGACATTAAACATTTTGTCCTCTGTGACGAACGAATCAGAAGGTTTTTCTCAAGCTGTTTTGAACGGCGTCCTGGTGGACAGGTGGACTGACAGTTTAAATGATAGTGTAACTTTCTGACTTCTTCTCTTCTGCTTCACGTGTCGTGAATGGGGGGGGAAAAACGAGGAGAACAGAATTCTGCCAAAATGCCTCTTCACATTTCTTACTTCAGACGTCTCGTGTCATCACAAGGACGCATGGATTGAAAACCTCCGGAGGACAGATTTCCTTCGCATGTGAAGGGGGGAGCTGTGGCTGTTTGTGTAGTCGTTACTCCAGCTGGCTGAAATCGTGACAGCATTTGAATACAGGTCCTGTGTCGTCCTGACATCTTTTTAATGGACTTTCACAGTTGAAGAGTCCTTCTACATCTTCAAAACGCTGCGCCTAACGAGCCCTGAGCTCCTGACCTCGCTCTTCAGTAAATAATACTCATCTTCCTCCCTGTCTTTGTCTCTTTCTCCAGTGTGGGTGTGGCTGTGGGGCTTTGTGTCCATCACCATCATCAGCCTGCTGTCTCTGCTGGGCGTGGTGCTCGTACCCATCCTCAACCAAGCCTGCTTCAAGTTCCTGCTCACCTTCTTGGTGGCGCTGGCAGTGGGCACGCTCAGTGGCGACGCTCTCCTCCATCTGATGCCCCATGTGAGTACAACCCAGACAGCCAGAGCACAATCGGTGTACGGCAGAGATGCTCAAGTCTTTAGGGTAGAGTCCAAGTCAAGCCTCACTCGTGATTACAATGAGTGTTCGAATCACCTGCTGCGTTCAATCCAGGCTGCTTATAAAACTGCTTAGCTCTAAGGAATTCTGTAACTGTAACCTAACATTTGCAAAATATGGAAAGTGTGTAGCTGCTGTTCCTGCTGGTCACGCCTAACCAACCTCAGAGACCTCTGGAGCCACAACATTAATTAAACATTTTCTACAGCAGTGTTATACATCTGATGAGCAGTAGTAACCTCTGACTTAGCTCTGGATATTTATATGTAAGCCGCTCTTCCTCTGACCAGTTGTCAGTAAATGTCCCCTCCGTCCTCTTCTTCACCCACACTCAACAGTAAGAGGCATCAGGGATTTGATCTGCGCGTCTCTAGAAAATAAAATCTCTGTACTGATAAATGTGCAATCCCAGCGCCTCACTCCTCTCATTCGTCTTCTGTTCCTCTTCCTGTCTCCAGTCTCAAGGGCAGCACGACCACGGCGAGCATGCCAAGGGCGAAGAAGAAACCGATCTGGCAACAGCCTTCGATGGAGTGTGGAAGGGCCTCACAGCGCTGGCTGGCATCTACCTCCTCTTCATCATCGAACACTGTATCGGCATGTTTAAGCACTACAAAGACCACAGGGTAAGATGAACAGACGCGGACTAGGCTGTTGAAGGACTGTTATCAGACACTAATTCTCACAAACCTTTGCTTTTGTCTGCTATATTCTTGCTTCTTGTTGATACAGACATGTTATGAATGTCTGTGGATGGAGCTTAAAATTGTGTCTCCGCTCACAGGACATGAAGAAGGCGAGTGAGGAGGGCAAGATCGGCAGGAAGTTGTCAGATCACAAGTTAAACCGCCGCTCAGATGCAGAGTGGCTGCACCTGAAGTCCCTCAGTGAAGGTACGAGGTGTTCAGTCATGCAGTCGGCTGACCCTGCACTGTGTTCACCGCCGCCTGGCTGCAGGGGGCGCTGTCTCCGCGGCTGTCACCGTTAACATCTCCTCTCTTCTCCAGACCCCGACAGCACCGCCGTCTCCTGCGACAACGGGCACAACGACACGCAGCTCACCGAGATCCAGACGCCCGACTCTCCCACCAACATGACGCCACTTGCGCCCGCGCACCCCCAACAAGACCGCCAGTCACCCACCAAGGAGAATGGACGCAAGGCCAAGCAGCGCGGCCACGGACACTCGCACGGACACGGGCACTCTCACGGTGGGAACTGCCACTCAGACCAGGAGATGAAGGACGCTGGGATAGCCAGCATCGCCTGGATGGTCATCATGGGCGACGGCATGCATAACTTCAGTGACGGCCTGGCGATAGGTACGAGGTTCTGATTTTGTGTTTTATCTGCACCGTGTCCACTTTAGGTGAATAACTCAGGAGGCCTCATGAAACGCCACAGAGGTTTTGATTAGTTTATTGTTACCATAAAATACTTTCTCTTTATAAAAGTAAGGAGCTAAAGCGCTAAATACGAAGCCTCCAACAGCCGTCAGTTAGCTTAGCTTAGCAGGGGGGAAACAGCCGCCCTGAAGCTCACTGATACACACATTATGTCTCATATTTTCTTCTTTCCCTGACATTTCCTCAACCTCTTACCTCTCCAGGTGCAGCATTCAGTGCGAACCTGACGGGAGGCATCAGTACATCAGTGGCTGTTTTCTGCCATGAATTACCTCATGAACTCGGTAAGTGGCGCGCACCCAAGAGACCGTGTCCAAAAAACTAAACAAAACAAGTCATTTGCTCATTACACAGCACACTTCATTTATTCAACAAGTACAACGACGCTGTTTTGTGAAAAACCTTAGTTCACATAATGACAAGCGTTGTCTAAATCGCCGCCTCATGCAAAACAGCCCTGTTGCCTACCTGAGCTGAAACGTGAATGTGAGAGAGCCTCGCGACCTCTCTGGCCCTTGAAACCCAGCGGTGTCAATAATCATCACTCTTAAGAAAAATGTACTTTTCACCAGATTAACGGCTTTTGTCTGACAGCAGCGAAATTGCTTGTCAGTGTGTCTGTCAGTGGAGATGATGTACCGTGCCTGGCACACATTGTTCAATACAGTCAGACTCACAGACGCACATCTGCTGCTGCATTCATTTGCATTCAAATCTGTTCTCTCCGAGGACCCTTTTGATTCAATTTGATTCAGCAAAAGTGAGCGTTTTTGTTTCGAGCAGTGCTTTCTTTTTTCTTTTTCTTTTTTTTTCACTCCGCAGTGCCTCCTCTGCCTGTTTGTTTATAGTAAGAGGAAGAGGTGGCGAGAGTGGGGTGAAAAAGACAGACAAAGGGCCATCCACAGCAGATCAGTACTAATGATGTGTCTCGTCGAGGTGCACTTTCCATGCCTCGTTTGTGTGCTTGATGAATAGAGTAGTGTCAATTACAGAGTGTGAACCGGTGAATAATAGCCTGCGTTTGTCTGCCTGCTCCCCCTTGTGTTGACTAGCAGCATCCTGTCCTACTCTTATTGTTGGGTTTAGGGGAAAAATTGCTCTAATGTCTGTGATGTTGAGCATTTTGCTGTTATGAATGCTGAGAAATCTGCACTTATTTGCCGTATCTGGGAGACTTCAGGATGGTATGGAAGAAGACGGCTACGAGCTTTGAATCTGGTCCAACATTTTTGTCCTTTTATTGCTATTTTTACTCTGTTGTGTTCGAGCTTCCAGATGGTTAACTGCAGCACAAGTCCCGTCTCAAGCGGCATGTGGAGACTTGCGAGATCAGTCTCTCCCCGTGCACATTTCCTGTTGATTCAGCGCCCGTTCTTCAGGAGCACTTGCTGCCGTGCCTTCGCCCCTGTAGGGCCGCTCGTCAGACAAACCCCGCAGTTTGACAAGTGCACCTCTCGGCTCCTCTTGAACACAAAAGCCGTCCCCCCGACTGGCAGCTGGATGGCAAAGATGATGATTATGAGGGTTCTTTAACCACCCAGAGTGAAGCTAATTGGCAGTGATGGGTGTGTTAATTGCGGTAGATGAGGCGGCGGCAGGCGTGTCTGAGAGTCTGACGGATTGTAACCGGGGAGGCCGGAAACACCAGAGTAAGTTGAAGAGGGGAAAAAAGGGCCATTGAAAGGAGGTGTGTGCGGGCTGCCTCTCTTTAACTTCTCCCCTCTTTCCTCCGGGTTTGATTGATGGATGAGAGCAGAGTGGTAATATATTCATTGTGGTAATTAGCAAGGAAAAGAGGCCGCTTGTTACGCTGTGCAGGAAATGTAGGCCACCCCCTTCTCAGTATTCATCTCTCTCTCCAAATCCAGGGCGTTTCCGCTGAGACTTGGGCCTCTTCCCGCATTTGCCCCGGCAATGATTGAAGAGGCTAGAGAGGCTACGGCATGCATATGTAATCATAAGTTTATCAGGAGGGAGTTAAAGACATATTTCTTAGAAAGAGCAGCTCCTGGTCTGTTTTTCACCTACCCGAAGACACGTAACAGTGGCAGACGCACGGAGGGAGTTTGCTTTGAAGGAGTCCACCCCCGTCACAGAATAGACAGGAAAAGTAAAGAACACAGCGCGACATGTGCCAAGCGACTCATGGAGGGGTTTATATGCGGCAGAGTGCTTGTCTCTTTGCAAACTGTAAACAGAAATTGGACACACTGCTGTCACTGCTGCGGCATTACACACTTTTAACTTTCCATAAACAACTTGTGAAAGAGGAGAATCATTGGTGACCCGTCGGAGAGAATGAGGAGTGTTGCATGTTGGGGGGGGGGGGGGGTTTGTGTGTCAGAATAAGAGACGGATGCATTGGAATTGCTTTAACGGTGTTTAAATGAGCGTGTGTCTCTCCTGGCTGACAGGTGACTTTGCGGTGCTGCTGAAAGCGGGGATGTCAGTGAAGCAGGCCATTGTCTACAATCTGCTGTCCGCCCTCATGGCCTACGTTGGCATGGTGATTGGCACAGCTGTGGGCCAGTACACACACAATGTCACCAGCTGGATCTTCGCCATCACTGCCGGCATGTTCCTTTATGTGGCTCTGGTGGATATGGTAAGTTGGCACGCCGCACTCGACAGCCCCAGAGTGGTAATTGTCCCCCCCAACACCACCAGCTTAACTTTCACCGTCTCCTCTCCCACACAGACAGTCAGTCCTCTTCTCTCTGCCTCCTGGTCTGCATTGCTAATTCAACCCAACTGGTTACTTTGTCTCTTTTCATAGCTGCCAGAAATGCTTCACGGGGACAGTGAGGACCACAAGCGCTGCCAGCTGGGACACTTTATGCTGCAGAACCTGGGCCTGCTGACCGGGTTCAGCATCATGCTGCTCATCGCCATCTTTGAAGACCAAATCGTTTTTGATTTTGGCTTCGACTAGAGGCTGGGGATGGTTGCGGAGAGGGGGGTGGACAATATTGTTCTTCTTGGCCTTAACATGCATTGTTTGCGACGGCCCAGTCTTGCATGCAACGTGAGTCTCATTCATGACCCGTGCCTCCATTCCAAACATTCAGCAGTAGCTTATAAACACTCTGCTCCTCCATCACCTCTCCTCCGTCAGCTCCAATCTGTCTGCTCCCTGCGAAGCAAAAAAAAAAAAAAAAGAAAGAAAGGAAAGAGAATGAAATGAATGAAGGATTAAAGAAGAGCGAGGGATGCACTCCAGCAGGAAAACACCTCCTCTGCTCTGAACTGGTCTGAAACTCCCATCAAAAGAAGAGCTGTTGGTTGTGAAGGTGGTGCAGGACGCCTGTGTTCCTGCAGAGGCAGCTGTCACGGCCCAGCAGCTCGCCGCCTATGCACCGTCACCTGTTAATGTGTTGTCGCCGTATCCTTCCAACCCCCCTCAACCTCCTTGTCTCTTATCCACTCTTAACTGTGTCCCGTCATCCATGCCTCGTACATCTGTGGTGTGTGTTCCGCCCGCCATCCATCATCGGCTTTAGATGTCGTCACGCTGTGTATGAAACATCTCGCGTCTCTCTGTGCCAAGCCCTGGCCACTGGAGCAGCAGAACCGCCGCCGCTCCACACACCGTCACCGTGTCCTTACAGAGACGGAGAACTCACTTTAGCTAGCTGCTACGTCTGGAATAAGCCTTTTAGCTCGTGTTGCTTCACCTGCAAAGTGTGTTGACGGCTAGAAGCTGCAGTGTCAAAATAGTAAAGCGTTCCCCTGACTTTGTTTGTTTTTTTGTTTTTTTTTGCAACAACTTTCTCCATTTATTACTTCAGAGTTATATTTTATTGTCTGATTTGATCTTTGGGACTATTAAACCTTTGTAGCTCATAGTGATAGCTAACACAGCTGCCAAAGCCTTTACAAACTAGAAAGCCTTATGACTGTTTTTGTTTAGAAACTAGATGACACAAATGTCTGACCAGTTCTTTTTAAGGGTTTGACAATCTGTAGGCAAAAGGAGGCATATCCTTGTTAGGTCTTTTAAATTATGTCTTTCGTTATAAGAATCAGCAGCTTGAAAATGTGAATTCCCAAAACCTAGTTATTCCCGTCTTCATCAAAGTGTTGTAGTTTACTAGATGTATTTAAGGTGCTAAAAGCTGCGTTGTCCAATCGGACCGCCCTGCAGTGGACATTTAATTACAGCAGGAGGTTGATTTGTCACACTAATGCAGTTTTGTTTCCTATACTGTAATTACAGGAGGTCTTTATAGTGTCAGTAGTGCAGCAGCTAAAACGTTTGTTCCTGCTAAAAATTTATTTGGTGAGTACTTTTGTCAAGGAATCAACGAGCCTCCTCACAATCTGAGACAGACCGAGCAAAAGACAGTACTCCTGTATCACAGCACTTCTATTGGATGTTTAACCCGCGTTATCAAACCATGTGGTAAAGATTATTATTTTGATCTTTTTACAAGCATTCCTCAGGTAGCTTTCTGAGGATGTACATCATCATTACTCTGCTGACTCTGACCCCTGTGCCAAAACTGTGGATTTTCAGTGGCTGGTGCTTGACACTGACCCGCCCCCCCCCTCTTCCCTTTTAGCCCTGACATTCCATTGGCTGTACTGCGGCTCACACGCTAAGCTAGGTAGCCTAGCTTCAGCTGCTGGAGCACACAGATGTTGTGTGTGGCTTCATTTATCCTGTCACTGTGTGACATCCATCGTCTATGTCTTAACTGGTTGTAAATCATCGTCAGTCACGAAGTCATGTGATTGGTCTGACAGAATCATGCATGAAGCATGAGTGAAACGGTACAGACGTTGTGTCGAGTGTAAATTTATTTTCATTCTTTGTACTGCAAAGTTAAAGTATCGACAACCTTTGTTACTTTTTAAATTAAGTCCGTGTGAAGATCGTGAGATGTTCTTTGGGGTGTGACCGGTGTTATGAGCCTTTTTGAAAAATGATTCACGTGTGTGTGAGTACGCACCTTATGCATCAGTTCTTTACTTTTACAGGCATTTTATTATTTTCATCTTCATATTTAATGTTAGTGCACACAGGACCTGAATGTATCTTCAGTTTGCTCTTACACCAAGTAAAGTTCATCATTTTCGATAAAATATAAGTTTGACATTTATTCAGTTGTTTTCTACAATATTAATTTTGATTGTGACATTTTTTGAAACAGTATTTCTCCTGAGTTCCTGTATTATCGGTATAATTTAAATCAAATCTGTACTGTCAAGTGTTCGATAAGAGTTAGTGACACTTAAAGAAACTACGCCCCAAAGTTTCTTCACTGTTTATCGGGCAAAGAATTGTCTGTAAAATGAAGGCCCATGATTGTTCTCATTTTTGCTTTGTTGTATGTAGATTTGTTTAGCAATCTGGATATAAAATGCAAAATGTGACTTCTTTGCTGTTTGCCTGTCTGTACATTCTCCCCATTACGAAAGAAAAATAAACTCTGAAAAGATCCTGGACTCTGATCTGTGTTGGTTCTGCTATAAATGTTACAGATGCAACTGGTGTACAGCTGTTAAACCACAACAGCATAACACCATCCATCAGTAACATTCTTCTTCTGCCTCGCGCTGCGCCGCTCGCCATCCGTGTCCTGCTTCAGTTTGCGTTCTGACAGCAGCAGGTTTAGCAAAGCTGACTCTTAAATAAACGTGAAGGCTCAGTGAACGATGCATATGAATAAAAAATGTACAAGGTGCAGCTGAGTTACTGTAGTAGCATGGCAGCTGGAAGAGCTGTTACAGCTCTGTGCATTATGGTAGGTTATCAGCGTGGTCTGAAAATATTTCGGCAGTTAGCCATCAAGCTTGTCTGAAACAATGTGCAACATGGTGAAATCAATTATCGCTAATAATACCGTTGTCTTATACACCAATGCACACACAGTAGTACTTCATTTATCCACAGTCAACCGAATCATCACAACACCAGTGCTATTGTTTCACAACAATACTGCCGTACGTGTCATTGTTATATTCAGTTAGATTTTTATGTACTGTATTAAAAAAAAAAAAAGAGGCCGTGTTTTCTTTTTCTTTTTAATTACACGTGTGTGTGAGATGAACAGAGACTAGGAGCTGAGCTGGCAGAGCAGTGCTACCCCTCGCCTGATCCAGTGTTCGGCCGGCACGTTGGAGTTGAGCGTCATGGCGATGACATAATTGGTGGAGTGGCCGGTGGTGGACAGGGTGCCACGCCGCTCGCTGGTCTTGTAGACAGGCGACAAGTAACACATCCTCTCGGGAATGTCCTTCCGTTTGACGGGCTTCAGCCACATCTGACAGGGAGCGAGGAGGCAGAGGCGTTAGAGGGGGGCAGCTGGGGAGCGTCGGGGTCAGATGATGTGACTTTAATATTTTAGCTGTGGCTGCCTTCTTTACCCCCATCAGCTACTTTATCATTTAGGGGTTGTTTTCCATTCACAACATTTGACTAGTAGAATAATTAAACTGGCAAATGATGGACTGATTATGTGACAAATGTATGATGATGGCCGTGGTTGTTAAAAAAAGATCAGATTGTATTGAAGGTTCAAAGGTCAGGACAGAATGCTAAACATGAAACACAGTGGAAACTAAACTGGATCTCCATTTTTTTTTAATCTAAAAATTAACTTACAAATTAGAACTTTGGGGACATAAACTTATAAAACAATAGCATGAACAAAGAAGAGTCCCCTTGGGCTGTTAAGAAGTCTTGGTTGTGCAAAAGGGATAAACTGGGCCACTAAAAAAAAAAAACAACATCTTTAAAAAACAAAACAAAAACAGTTTGTTGAGTTGCAGCCAGAAAAGTATTCATCTGGTTCCATAATGGGCGCCTCTGCGAATATTTGCATTTCAAAGCCAGCCACAGCAGCCTCTGTTGTGGATCCCCCCCCCCCCTAATAAACACATTTTAATTAAGTTCTGCTCATGTCAAAAACTGATTCTGTTAATAACTTGCCCTGAAATGTCTGAATATTTAAAAAGTCAGTCTTGTGCATTATTCATAATCACTGGATCCATTGTGAAGAGGAGAGAACAGAGTGAGAAAAAGAGTCTAAAGAAGAAGGAAAACCTGATCAGTCCTCTCTCTCTGCCACCGGCACTCTGTTTCCATCACTCTGTCAGTCTGCTTTCATATACCATATCAAGCTCTGTTAATTAATAAAAGGATGAGAGAGCAAACGAGCTAGGCTTCCTGCAGGCAGAATGTAACAACAACAAAAAGTGCTGAAGCTGCTGCTCCGTATCAGGTCCAGAGAACAAGGAGCTGTGAACATCCTCCTGGGTGCAGCTGCAGCTACAGTATGGTGCTGATTGTTCACGTTCTCCTCGGAGACTCACAATATTGATCTCCAGTTTAAAAAAAAACAAAACAGCCGTCTCGTGGTTTACAAGCTGAATAACGAAAGAATCTGCCCCATTTTCATAATTTGATATTTCCTCTCTTTGGACACCCAGAGGGATTCACAGGAGCAGAATCAATAAACCTCCTCCCCTCAAACTTTATATGAGAATTGTTATGCAACAAGGATTTTTTAAAACCTGGAGGCCTGCGGTGTTTTTCAGCATACACTGCCAAGTGATCTTACACTAAGGCTTAACAGTTCCCCACCCTAACAACAGAGAAATCTCTGCATATTTTAACTTTCAGTAAATAACTAAACAAACGTATCATCATGGCTGTTATCATCATACATCATTCAAGAGATGTTGGAGTGCCAAAATCATTTTGTAACTCAAATGGGGGATTCTTGGTTCCTCGAAGGAACTGCATGTTAAGTCAAGGTTCAAAGTTCAATCTTGATCTTGAAAACAGGCTCGACTTGCCTCCACTCGCCTTCGTGAAAAAGTTGTACCTGTAGCTGCTTCCAGGCAATTTTTTTTCGTGTCACCTCTGTCGAGGTTCCAAGAGAGCTGAGGCGATACTAAAATGTGACATGAAAACACAGCAGAAGTGGCGACAGGGGAAGCCTGCGCGGCAAGCCGGCCGGCCGCCTGCTCACAGACCGCTGCAGCAACAACGGAAAACACAGCTGGAAGGTTTTCATACCGCTTATCTGTCTTTACATTCTGAGGAATGTTGAAACTTTTTAACTTAAATCAAGAGACAGCTGTTTGTGTGCCGCATTGAAAATTACGTCACGGCAGTTTAGTGTGTCACTATGACGACCAGCTACATTACCGGCTACTATCTGCAATGGAAAACGGAGGACGGCCAAACCGAGTCGAGCTGAGCTGGTACCGGTAATGGAAAAACGGCATGTGTGTGTGTGTGCTACTCACCACAGGCATGGGGTCATGCAGCACTTTGGGGTAGGACTCAGCGAGAAGTTTGGTCTTTCTGTCCCAGCGGGCGCCATCAAGAAACAGCCCTCTAACGTACACACCTGAGTGTCGCACACAAACAGAGACAATTCAGAGGTACACGAGAGCTAGCTTAGCTTCGACCCTGCGACTACTCTGCGTGTCGCCTCTTCTAGCATCTGTAAAACTTGATGAATCTGAACTGACCTCTGTGCTGTTGTCATTAAGCATGTGAGCTGTCCTACTAACAGGGTGGGGAGAAAACAGGGTGAGATTTAGAGATAACTGACTGTTGGCATCCTGTCAGTATCACGCACTCCAATGCACACACGCTGTCGGATTTGTAGCTCGGCAGTGTAGGCTGTGTTAGTGTGATGGGGCCCCAGCTGGGGACTGATTGAGGGTGAGGCTTTCTGCTAGACTTTGACTGAGAATCTCAGTCTGTAGGCACAGCGAGGGGCTGACGCAGGCCTGCATGCAGATGAGAGGCAAGGAGGCTTTGCTTTAACTTACTTTCACACGTTACACTCTCTTATATTCAGGCAGCCTAATGTCAGTTTTCATCTGTTTGTTTCTTCTCTTCCACCTACTGCTTATTTCACTTTCCGCTTTGAAATGTCTTGTACACTTTTGAAACTCCTTCTGACTCCTTCCCTCTTCAAGTGATCTTCCTGCTGTACTTTTTCTACCTTCATTAAACGAGGAGATGGTTTGCTGAATGAGCCATTTGATCCTAACAAAAGCTATCCTAACATCCTTTTACTATTAAACCACCGACCTTCTTCTCCCTAAACACACTCAGTCTATCTTCTCCCATAACACCGTTAGTATCCTACCATCCTCTGGAGGGTGTTTATATTCGTGGTCATCCAGGACCTCAAAGTCGAAGCCGAGCAAGTCAATAGGGACGGTGTGTTTCCTGGCATAGTTCTGCTGGCTGCCTGTGAGGAAAGCCTGGGTGAAGAAGAATCCTGATATCCAGAATACAGCAGGCGTACCCTGATCACACCAGTCCTGAAAACACAGCAGACATTTATAAGCAAAACCAGCCAGAACTCAGAGGACCCAGTGGCTTTCACATGGGTTGAGATGGTTGGGGGTTCTTGGTTAGGTTTAGGTTACAACACACTTTTCTTTTACAGTTTTGCATTAATAGATGTATTTAATCATTGAAAAAGGAAAAACATACTTAAATTGCAAAATTGAACAACACTTCAACAGCGTGTTAGCGTGCAAACATTTGCTAACTGGCACTGAATACAAAGTACAGATGTCTTTAGTTTTGCAGGTGTTTGGTCATAAAGAGCTTGACAAAGATGTAATTCCATCCGATGTTGAGATATTTCAGCCTGGACCAAAATGGTGGACCGAGAGTTCGAGAGTATTGCCATCCACTGATCCATACCACTAGCACGACTAAAACCAAATATGCTGTCAAACCTTACAATTGAACTAAATCACCCTCTTGGCAGCCGAAAAGGCCTTTTATGAAGAAAAGCTGCGCAGCCCAGGACCCTCAGCAAACAAACAGGACAAACAGAGAGCTTTATATTCATAGATGCTGATAGTTAATCACTTCAGTCCATTAGGATTTAGCACTTTAATCCACACAACACAGCATGCGGATTAAAGTACCCAACCTGCCAATAACCATGCCAGATAGAGTCATTTTTTAAGTTTGGAGGAAGTAATTAAGCTCTATGTAAAATTTCTGAGTTTACTGTAATTATACTTTGGTTCACCAGAGAGAAAAGTAGAGTTTTGACATAGGGCTGACCCCCAATAGTGGAAGACTTGATGCTTTGATGGGCGGAGCCTGATTTGACTGTCAATCTCACAGTCAAAGCTTTGCAGCGAAACAACTATCACGCCATTTTGGCGATATGGGGGAGCTCAACATCTGATTTTACATAGAACTACCAGTTTTCTCCCATTAAGTTAATATACAGCCTGTTACAATACACATTTCAACCACATTTTAATGCTGCAAAAAAAAAACATGTAAAAAGACTAAAACTTTCAATAAATGGTTTTAAAGTGCGTGAATAAATCCAAATAAATCCCTCGCGGGACTTTTGGATAATTTACCACCGTTGATGAACCACACAAAGAATATTTTATGGTTTTTAAACAGCCGGCTACTTGAAATAAACCGGCGAGGA